GAAGACAGACGTGAAGTTTCAGTGTGAACACGTGTTCAAAAATGATGAAAATAAAATAATGGGTGTTTAGGAGTATTTGGAATAGATGAGAGTTCAAGGTTAATTTGGAATGCGATTGGTAAGATTTTTTGTTTTTGTTGGTGTGGTTTTTTTTTGATGATGTTGTTTACTTTTTTTGAAGTATAAATACACATATAATCTATAATTTCATACTTCTTTTGAAGTATTTAACACATTGACTGCCATGTGAGTTGTATTTAATTCAGGCTAGTTTTGAGCCCGGGGCTGCATGAAGGAAAACCCTGCAGTTGGTTTGTGAAAATCTTACTTGTTGATGTTCTTATCGTTACAATTAATATTGTTGATTTAATTCTAAAAAAGTGGATTGCATTGTATATAACTCACACACAGAAAACAATAAAAAATAACAAATTAGAAAGTATCATTTTGTTTTAATAAAACACCATGGCCCCAGGGAAAATTTTTTTTTTTCTAGTGTGGCAGTCAATGTGTTAAAGTAAAAGTGAGGTTTTTTTCCTTTACTAGGTAATTTCTGTCTTGTTTAGATGTGCTTTAGGCAATAACATATTCTTCATCATACTGCAAACTCTGCCCCAGTTACTACAAATATTCCTTTTGTCTTGAAGTTACTTTTAAATCTCAACTTTCCTAAATAACATATGCAGTTGTGATATTTGTAAAATGTCAGGGACAAAAGAAAAATATAGGCTGTCTAGAATAAAACTTCTAATGTGAATTTTACATGAAAGGTTTGTAATTCGATGGAAGTGCTTTTAGGATTGTATAGGTTAAGGATGGTACTTGTGTAGGAGAATAATAAAATAGAATGAGGATAGAAATCCTGGACTAAAACATAGAGGAAATGAAGACCAAGATGATTCTACTCAAGACATTGCCGAATGGTGACTAATTACAGCATCACAATTTACAGGATTCAATAAGTAAACTATATTGAGAAACCAACATAAATATTTTCCTGATGTTAATAATGATCAGGCCCAGATATTTAAACAGCTTGTTCCATCACTCTGTTGAGGACCCTGTTCAAATACCATCTCTTAAAGAGGCTTTCCAGGACTATTCTACTTAAACTAGCAGAAAATAACTTTAGAATCGAATGGAATTCTAGAAAATAGAGAAAAAAATAAAAATTTAGAAAAATAAACAGTATATATTTGAAATATTCTTACTGTCATCATAAATGAATAAGTATATATATCCTGCTTTAATCATAATCTTCAAAAAGTTCAGATATTGTAATATGGGCTACAGAATTAGATACATTAATCACCACTTCAGATCACTATCTATGCCAGAAAAATTAGTAGAGCAACCTTTCACAGGGGAAAGGCAGTATAAAACAATTTGAAATAATCAATATTGTTATTAAGCTCTCCTTGGTTAGATCATCGATGATTAGTTCTTCCAATTTGAATCAAATTAATCCATTTGATTTGTATTTATTCTGAATTTAATGCATATTTTTTTTTAAAAAAGATACCCCAAAGTGATAGATTAAATAATTTAAAATCACCTTTGTAATATATAGTGATATGACAAAAGAAATTAGGTGATAATTCGTGATCCTTTGTATATATTGGCAAATTACAGCATAGCGCCATTCTGGCAAATATGAAGAGTAACTAAATATTTTACAGTGGGAGAAACTGAAATGCACAGAGATTAATGGTTTACTGAAGACCACTTATATTTCCTCGAACTTGGAATAAAAGAATAATTTTTGTCTTAGTTCTAGAAACAATCTATATGATATTTCTTACAACAAGTATGTGTAATTTCTGTCAATGAAATCACTGTTGTTGCTGATTTCTGCATTAAAGTCCTAGGACAGATACAATCATGCCCATCTATATAATTATAACAGAGAAGAGAAACATTTGATAAAATATTTTATTATTATTAAGAATAATAATATAATCATGGTTATAAAAATAACAACTTTATTAACTACAGAGAATTATAATACAAGTCATAACCACAGTGTTCCCTTTTTTGGGTAAGCATCCAGCTATACCACTCAATAGGCAGCTTATCAATTTCCTATTTACACACAAAACAGTCATAACATCCACAGTATTTCATTTTCAGTTTCCTAAAGATAGAAACTTTCTGTGCAAATGGAAATGAACCTGCTTAAAAGTTACACTGTCAAGATTTATATGATCCAAAAAATCTTAACTTTTTTTATATTAGTAAATTTGTAGTTCTAAAGTCAGTTGAATGTTGAAAGATAAATCTTTTTGGATTTTATCATGAAAAGTAATTTATTTAAAAATTATTTATTTAAAAAAGACAAAGACCATGTCTTTTTTACTCTGATTTTATTTATCGAATGAGTTTATAAATATGATATAATTAATGGAAAGTAGTTATTTTTTGAATCTCAATAAATCAATTTAAGAATTCTTAGTATGAGACCTTATTAAAATTCTTTACCTCATGGTCTCTATATTACAGAACCGATATTTCTTTTTAAAAAAATGTTTAGAAACAACAAGAAAATGCCTGACAGCAATTTCCCATTTCTTGACAGTGTTTTTTTTAAGAGAATGTTGTGGCTATAACATTCACTTTGTACAGTACCATTGGTACCAACAAGAAATATTCACAGGAATAAGTGAAATACAATTTTGCTATCACATGCCATTATTGTTATTTTTCTTGCCTTCCAGTGTCTCACGTTTCCCACGGTTTGAAACACTGAGATAGCAAGCAAGAGCTTGTTAATACTAGAGATTGACTCGATATAAACCCTTTTACTGAGGACCTGCCCACAGCAAGTAGGTAAAAGTCATTACACATTTTACAATAAAATTAAAGAAGTATACAAAAGGATTATTATCCCTTCTGCACGGCAGAGGCATTATGACAAATATTTTAATTTTACATTTCAATTCCTGGTAGACATCAGAAAATGTCTATAATTATAACAGCATATAACCATTATTCAAACAGCCAAAACAAAAATAGCATTGAGAACTTCTGATTTAAAAGGTCCTTTTGTCTGTGACACAAAATCAAATGGATTATTGGATAAATTAGACTTTAAAATTTTTTTTGTAGTTTATTCAGAAAAGAACACCCAATAAATCATATCTTTCACCAGCAAATAATGACATGATTGCACCCTGTCCTACTACCTAAAATAACATGGATCTTGTTCATCTAGCTTTCATTGTCAGTTCCACCCATTTCCCTCTATCACACACAAAAAAACTTCCCAAAGAAGAATTGCTTTGTACACCATGTTTGATTTATTGGTGTTGTTTTTTAATGCTTTAATAAAATCAAAAAACATGTGTTCAAAATGTCTACAAAGTTAGCTGCATTTTGTATTTAGGTAATCCTATCACTCTTTCCATGAAAATTTAAAGGAAAAGACATGGAAGTATTTTTAAAATGTCAGTGTTTAAAAGTATTACAATTTTTATGAAAGTTTTACAAATATCATTAATATGTGATAATAAAATTTGGCTGGTTCCACAAGAAGAAACTACTAAAAATATTTAATATTTTGGCAATATGCCTTGGAAATTGTTAAGTGTTTTCATCAAAATGGCATATTATATAAGGGAAAGAAAAACACAATGTGATAAGATGATGTGGACTGGCAACTAGTTGGATCTCTTTTTGCTTCTACTATAAGTTTCCTGATACCAGTCAATATCTTGTTACAAAAAAAAAAATGGCACAATTTGTAAAAACATTTCTGGATTTGGTGTCCTACACTCTGTGGACTAAGCTCTCCGAGTAGACTTAAAACCACTTTATTACAGATTGAACAATATCCTAGAGAGCTTTTAGGGCATTATTTGGAGACTTGGCCTTAATAAAGACCATTCAAGAGAACCAAGTCAGAGAAATGGGAATACTGGATTCAAAGCATTCAAATAATTATTTTTAAAGATGCTTTGTACTGAAAGATTTTATGAAAATTCAAAGGTTTTCCTATTACTCTTTGTTAACCCATTTCTCAACAAATACATGCTCTTTAGCTAAGTATGACAAATACAACAATAAA